GACAGGCAGGTAGGCAGGCAGCTGAAAAAAACCCCCTCTGGGGTCCTTGGGTCCTTCCTGGGTCTGTTGTCGCGCAGGCCGGGAGCTCCCGCGCAGGCCGGGAGCTCACGCGCACGCCGCCGGGTGATCGCAGACAGGCAGGTAGGCAGGCCTCTGTGGAAATGTTTTAAGGCACTCATCTTCTACCAAAACACTGGCTTACTTCAACCAGAGGAGCCGTAGACTTTATAAAACAGAATTGTAAAACCTAATCATTCCAATACATCACATGATGGTATGGAAATTTAACATTAAAAAGAAATTTAACATAGTTCTATAATATTTGCTGATGGATGGATACTTTATTAAAAATGGAAAAATCTATTATTAGCCATCAACCCAAAAGGCCCTACTGGATTAGCAAAGACACCAAGGAATCATAGACATTTAAAAGATTATTCAATTCAGAATTTGAAAAAGATGAGTATAAAAGAGTTTGAGGTAATAAAGGCCACCTAACATTGGCTCGCTCCTAGTTTAGTCTTCAGAATAGAGAGCCAACCAAAGAAGTCCCCATAAAGCTAGACAGACTTGTCTGGGACACATGTTCACAACATAATGTCAGTACAACTTGATGTTTCACTTAAGCTATCTAATGAAAACCAAAGTAGAAACCCATGCATACGAACTCTTTATCGTTTTAGGAGAGCATTCTAAGACTTTAATTTATACCATTAATTAATTTGTTTGTCCTTCCATTCACTCATTTGTTAGCCCAAATGTATTAGGAGATGGTTGACAACAAGGTATTTAGCCAGGAAGTGAACTAGACGCTGAAATCATTTGAGACCCTCTCACTGTGATAAATCAAATTTTGGCTTTCATATTTATTTTCTTAAAGTTATATAAACCTATCAAATGTTTGAGTGACCCTTTCACACTGTCATGTACTTTTATTACTTTAAGGTAGGGGTAGAGATGGGCATGAGTTGAGTATTAAATCACTTTCTCAAGAGAAAAAGCTGTTTTTCCCATTGTGCAATTTGTATTATGGAATTCTTGTCAATTCCCATAGAGAAAGCAATGGGTTTTATGTGACAAAGACTGAAAAAAGTCACAGCATTATCCCACAAATTGAAGTGGAAAGGATATAATAAAAAGCATATTTTTGTTTGAAAAGAACCTAGGGTCAAAACCTTTCATGATATGAGGGTACAGTGGAACCTAGGTTGTTTCCTCGCAGACCTTTAGCTAAAGAAGTATATTTGTAGTTCCCAAGGTTTTATCTGATTCTTATTTTCTTTTCATTCCAGTTGCTACATTGATGGCCGGGTGGTCAAAGTGATGGACTTCCTGAAAACTCGTCTACTAGACACACTCTCTGACCAGATTAGAAAAATTCAGAAAGTGAGTAAAAGTATCCTGGGAAGAGGAGTGAGTGTGAGGGTAAAGCAAGGAAAAGGTCACTAGATCCCTTACTGGACTTCAACATTGTGGGATCAAGAAAAGAAAAACAGTAATATAATGCAGTTCAGATGGGCATGGTCAAGAGCCCCCTCTCACCATGGTTGTTTATTGCTTTTCAAAATCAGAAGGGTTTCTGTGTGCCAGGACAAGATTTTGAGAATATAGTGAAAAGAGAACTCTTACACATTACTGGTGGAAATAGAAATTATTATAGTCCACTGTGGAGAAGAGAGTAAAGGTTACTTAAAAAGTAGAAATGATACTATTCCATGACTCAGGTATCCCACTTCTGGGTATATATCCAAAAAACATGAAACTAGAATAGCAACAAGTTACGTGGATTTCCATGTTTATTGCAGCACTATTCACAATAGCTAAAATATAAAATCCAGAAAGATGCCCATCTGTCCATTGATAAAAGAATGGATAAAGAAAATGAACAAAGAAATCTTATAGCAGTCCATATGTAATGGAATCTTATTTATCCATAAGAACAAATGAAATCTGTAACTGGCATTGAAATGGACAAAAGCAAAGGACATTATGTTCAGTGAAATAAGTCAAAAACAGAATGGCAAACACTGCATGGTCACTCTCATATGTGGGCACTAAAAAACAAAAAAGTTAATCTCAAACTAGAAAAGAGTAAAACAGTAACTAATAGAGGCCAGAAAGATTAGAGGGGAGAGAGCATATAGCAAAGCTGAGCAACAGATACCAAAATGTAATTAGAAGGTGCCTTGGTCTTGTTGTTGGGATAAAACACCCAAATCTCCTAAGTTAAAGGAAGAAAGATTTGTTTCAGCTCAGGTTTTAGAGATTTCAGTCTACCGTCAGCTGGCTTAAGGCAGGGTGGCATGGCAAAGGGGCACCACAGAGTAGAAATAGTCCATGGCAATCAAGAAAAAGGCAGCAGAAGCAGCAAAATCAAGCCTCCCTTTCCCTTTCGTACAAGCCAGGCTTCGTGCATTTTGGGTGATGCCACCCACACCCGGGATGGGCCTTCCCATTATCCACAGTCAAAACTGTGCTAAACCAATCAGTGGACCAAGTTAGTTATCATGTTTAATCTACATTCACACATTCTAGATCTAGTCATCTCCAAAAAAGCCCCACCTATGAGCACATGAGGCTTGGGGGAACATCTAGATACAAGCTACAACAGAAGGAATAAAGTTCTAGTGTTATAAAGCACAGTAGGGTCACTGTAGTTCACAAGGTCTGTTGTATCATTTATGACTAACTAGGAGAGAAGAGCTGAAAGCCTTCAAACATAAAGAATCATATAGAGATTGAAATGCTAATTGGCCTTGTGTCAATAGACATTTTATACATGTATTGAAGTATCACGTAGCACCTGATAAACATGTCCCTTACTGCAAGTTAATTAAAAACAAAATAAGGTATTTCCATATGAGAAATATCAAATTTTTTAAAAATTGAATTTTTCATCTCTCTAACCTAGCTCTTCATTCAAAATTAAATACAACTATAAATTGTTTTTTAAAACTTTTTATCTTAATAACAAATATTTTATAGTTTATTTCTAAAATGTGAGTTTGTAAGGAAACCGTAGGTTTACTTTGTTATTTTCTTTTTCATACAGGTACATTTTAGATTAGTTTAAAGAGAGAATGATTACATTTGTTCAGGGCAATTCTGGTCTTGGGCACTGACAATTCTGAGCTATATTTATATTATCCTTAGATGTCTTAGAATCAGCCATGTAAAAATCCTAGTTCTGCAAAGAGGAAGAAGCTATTTAATATTAAGCAATTGCACATGGGTCTTATCCTCAAGATCCCTTTGGTTGATGGTTCTCAGACTTGAGTATAATCAAACTTATAAAGTTTCCAGTCTCACTCCTGATATTCCAGTTAGTATGGCTGAAGTGGACCTGAGATCTCTATTTTTAATAATTTTGTGTGTAATGATCCTACACAATTAAGATGGTCCTGAATTTATATTTTGAGATACGCTGGATTAATTTGCCATGCCCTGCATGGCAAGGGTCCAAGGTTTGAGTAGGGTGAAGGGAAAATGCAGAAAACAAAAGAGAATTAAAGCAGGGACCCGGTGGGGCCTTCCCACCTGCTGAGCTATGTGTCACCCTATGTGTCACTTTAAGGCATAAGCGGGGTGGAGTACAAACAAGGAGATGGGGCAGGGTGTCTTTGGTAATTTGTCGTTCTAATACATTCTGAGATTAGCTGACCAATAAGGCTGGTGGGAACAGGGACATGCAAGCTTGCTGTTCCTAGGACCATGTCAATTAGAACTACAGTAAATAGAGTAAAAGAAACATTTCCTTGCACTGCGGAGCTATCTATTATGACAGGGTGAATTGACACAGAGTGGGGAAAGTCATGAAGTGCAGGAGGCAGGCAAGACACCTCCTGATCATGGTCCGATCCTGAGCTAGCACGCAACATTAATTAATTGTAGTTGTGAGGATCTTATGTCTACAATTTCCTTGAGCGTCTACAAGATAGCCCATTTTTTGTTGCCCAATTAGATTCTCTTCTAGGGAATGGGGAGCCTTTGGATACTCAGCTATCATCTTTTGAGCAAATAAAACAAATTTCAACAGTTGGCCCTCAATAAGTATGGGATGAACGAATAAATGAATGGACAAATGAATGAATGGTTAATGCATAAAATTAACTCTTGAGAACATCCTGTTTGAAGCAATCTTTAAAAAGCACCTTTCAAAGTTAAAGTGGAAGTTTGTACCTTTTTAATTTATACTGTCGTATGCTGACTATAAATAGCCTCTTAAGTCCTCTTGTTCTTAAGGAGTTTTAGAGGCTGAGAACCCTCAGAACTTCTGGACTCAGTATTTCTGGCCAACATCCTTCTCTATCACTGCCTTCCACTAGACAAGGAAAACTAAATGATTTGAAATATTTCTCCCACTCTCTGTTTAACATTCACTTAGCAAGAAACCGAGCAAACTGCCAGATTATTGGAATAAAAAATGGAATAAGATGTCTCCTCTCTAAGAAACTCAGTTTTAAGTCGGAATATTTACTTTCAGCAGGTTGAAATGTAATACCTAACAATAGAATGTCAAGCTATTGCATACTACAATTTTATAAACTCCTACGCTAGTCCAATAGTAAGTGTTGCTCTGTGGAAGGAGGGAAAATTTTTCTTTCATTCATTCATTTTTTTCATTCTTTTTTTAAAATCCTGTATATATTTGAACATGTTTGTAGTGCATAATGATTATATTCGTTTTGGGGAGCTGGTAAATTTATATAACATATCTTAATTCTTTTTATATTCCCTTCCATTTCTTGGTCCCCTTCCCATTTGCAAAAGATTTATTTCCTTGTTTCCTTCTTTTATTCAACTAATATTTATTGAGTATTCACGATGTTCGAGGCTCTAAGTGTATAACTTACAACAGTGTACAAAATAATCAAGTTGCCACATTTTTGGTTTTTTCACTTTGTGTCTCATCAAAGGGTTATCATTGGAAGTGGTATAATAGTCCTAAGAGTGAAGGTTCTGCAATCATGTTAGTTAAGTACAGCAGGTGAGTGTAGACGCACAGATGTTGGGAGTTAGGTTCTCTTCTTTCTCCCTACTTTCCATCATTCTCCACCACAGCATATCCCTTAACCATCATAGAACATTCAAAACTTGAAGTAATGACTAAGCTTAACTCCTGATTTATCTAGGGCCAAAGAAATGTAAGGACAAGAGTTAAAAGCTGGTGGTCAATTGAAGTTCAGATCTTTACTACATGTCTGACTGAACTTATAGGAGTGGGGACAAAAGAGCCATTGAAGGGAGAAACAGTGGATCTCCTAAAATGACCTATATGAAGGAGGAACCTGGAAAGGGACAGCTAGATTTGCAGAGGAGCAAATCATCTGGCTATTATAAACATGCCCAGAAGTCCCCTTAAGACAAGGTTCTTATTCTGGTTATCTCTTGCTAGGCAACACATTACCCCAAAACTCAGTAGCATAAAACAGCAATTTATTATGCTGATGGACTGTGAGTCAGGAATTCCCAGAGGGCACAGCAGGAATGGTTTGCCTCTGCTCTGCAATGGCTGAAGCCTCAACTATGATACTTGAAAATTGGGATGACTCAAAAGTTAGACCCTGGGATTACCAAAGTCTTGTTTATGCACATGCCTGGCAGGAAATGCCAGCTATTAAGTAGCACTTTAGTTTGGGCTGATATCCATCATACTTACATATGAATTTTATGTGTAGCCTGGACTTCCTCCCAAGGCTCTAAGTCAGAGGCCCACAGAGAAAGCCAAGTTGAAGCTGTATCACTTTTTGCTATTTATTCCATATATTGAAGCCGTTCCCAAGACTCATGGAGTTCACATGGAGAAAAAATTAACTCCTCTCTTGATAAAGGAGTGGCAAGATTCTGGAAAAGCATATAGGACTAGAAATATCTGTATAATTTTGGAAGATATCATCTTCCACAGTTCCATTTTCCTTGTTTCATTTTGTGGACCTTAATTCATTTCCCTGATTAGTTTTGTTTTCCCAATTCTCTTTTTCAAAACTCTTGCCAGATATTTCCTTAAATGGGTATCTGCTGGAAGTGTTTCTGGAACACAAATTCTCTGTTATTTAACTCATGGGATTGCCTTCCAACTGTCTGCAGTAGCTCAGAGCCAGCTGTTAGATCTTCCAGGATGAGAGAACTTCTCAATACAGCCCGCATTGTGCCTGCGTTGGGGAGATAAGAGTTGGGACCAGATAGGATCACCAAACTTTGATTGTTGATAAGTTGCTTTGGCTTTTTTCGGTGTCCTCAGGTTGGGAAGTGTGGAGGGGTGGGGGTTCCTAAAGAATGGAGGTCCAAAGTGAGAACCAGAGCAGACTGACTCCATGTTTTTTCTTGTAATCTTACAAAATCAGTTCAGAGATTGTCTAAGTCAGGTTTTGATGTCTCTATACCTA